TGTATCTAGTCGGCTGACTAAGATACAATGGGAGGTTTTACACTCCCCTTGGACACTCTCACTGGAACGATTCAAATGCGCATTGGATGGTTCCACTGAAGTGGCAAAATTGATTGACTCTCATAGGTCCAACCTTTCCAGGCTCATGGTGTCTACTCTTGTGGCACAAGGGGAAATAAAACATGTTGCTACATTGATTGAACAGGCTTCCGCTCATCATTGGTGGGATATATTTACAGGCATGTCGAGTACCGCTAATAAAGTGCTAATTCCACCTATGATTGCAGCATTAATTATAATCAGCATTCTAACATTGTGTAATCTTATTATTTGTTGGTATGTTATTCAATTAAGAAGAGAAATAAATTGGGTAATAATGCAAAGACTACGATGAAAATTAAAGTGGAACTACAAGGTATGTTATAAATGACGTTGGTTTTGATGGGGAAATGGTGATGGATCCATGATGTTACATAAATTAGATGAAAAGTTCAAGAGTGGAATGTAATAAAAATGAACTTGTCATCTGTTGTATAATTGCTTTATATAAGTTATTGATCACTACTGTTTGTCAATCACACTTATCATGAGGATGTAATCAAGGGTAATCATGGTGGAGGTGTGCAGCTTTGCACGCACATCAGTGGATGTATAAGGAGCAGAGCAGAGCTCAGGTTGTTAGAGCTGCTTGAAGGATTCTACCTGACGAGGTTCATGGATTACATGTGTTCAGTTCTTCACCTATCATGGATTACGTTTCCTAACTGGGGTGTTCAGCTCTCCACCCATAAGCAACGGTAAGAGAAATGTTTTGTTCATGATTGATAACTTGTATAAATGCCGGTTGAATAAAGCCTTGTTGTTCATCTGATATTCAAGTTGTGTTTCATTGTTTCTGGCGTCGACTTGACAACGATCCTGATTAAATAAATATAAAGTGTAAAAAGAGACTTTGAGTCTTTTAAGGTAATTAAAATAAAATAAAACATTTTATTGTAGAACAACTTCTCTCCAGGTCTCACTGTCTTCCCCCTGCAGAATGAGGAAGTAACTGGAAGGAGCGCTCTTCAGCACCCCCTCCAAGGTTTCCAAAGTGGGTGGGTAGTATGAACTGCAGTTTGTTGCATAAGCACAAACCACAGTCAGCACCCATCCCCCCACACGTAGGCAGAGGGAGGCTACATTCATCTGGGTAAACCCCAATGTGCAAGCACCAAGATGGGGGCAACTAGTATGCCCACTCCTGCTCAGCGCCTCTTAGTGGGAGTAACTCCAGAGTGGTAGAGTGACCAACTCCTCTCAAGGAAACTGGTTCCAGAGCCAGAGCCATGCATTGAGGTGAGTCTGACTATATATAGTCGGAACCTCTCAACCTCACACACCAACACAGGCGCCTTTCCCACCAGAGAGGTAACATTTCACTTGCCAAGAGCCAGCTTCTGTAGCCGAGGATCAGACCGCCATGACAAATCTTCAAATTCTAGGGTTACTTGTGGAGTACCACAGGGTTTGGTGCTTGGACCAATTCTTTTTACTATACATATGCTTCCAATTGGTAAAATCATTAGACAGCATGGGATAAAGTTCTGCTGTTATGCTGATGATACTCAGTTATATTTATCCATTAACCTGATGAACCTGATCGGTTAGGTAGATTACAGGCTTGTCTTGAAGGCATAAAAAAATTGGATGACTCTAAACTTTCTGTTTTAAAATCAAGACAAGACTGAAGTTCTCATCTTTGGACCAGAACTTCAGAAATGGAAACTTCTTAGTCAATCACCTGACCTGAATGGCATTAAATTAGTCTTCGAGATCAAAGTAAGTAACCTTGGTGTTATCTTTGACACGGACATGTCATTCAAATCCCACGTTAAAACAGGTTTGTAGGATTTCTTTTTTCCACCTTCAGAAGTTAAGATTAGAAGCATCCTCTCCAGGAGTGATGCTGACAAACTAGTTCATGCATTTATTACATCAAGACTGGATTACTGTAATTCATTACTCTCAGGAAGTACACACACACACACACACACACACACACACACACACACACACACACACACACACACACACACACACACACACACACACAGTTGAGAGCTAGAGGTGTATCAAATGTCCCACAGGCACTTTTTAATTATATATTTATAATTATTATAAAATTGTTTAAATGTCATCTAGAGGTGGCCATATCGTTTATTTCTTGTCCAGAGAAAAAAAAATCAATCATGTTAAGCTAAGCTTATGATGATGCAATTGTATCTACTGAAGATCTCATGGGTCATGCACCATGGAGTTATTAGTTATCAGGGCAAACATGGCTGGAGTCCAACAGTATTGGCTCATATCAGCGATTATACTGTAATGACTCAGAGTCTCTGGTTGCTCTTTTATCAGGGTATCCGCAGGTTTAAGAGAGACAAATTTAAGACATTTTAAGACTTTTTTTAAGGCCACTTTGACCAAATTTAAGCTATTTTTAAAATTAAATTTAGGCTATAATTCCCAGCTATTGCCTGAAACCGGTGCTAACCACATCAAGAACATGGGATTAGCCATCCAATTACCATTAAACTTGCACTTCCCCATGGCGCAAGCACCCACTAACTTAACCAGCTTCTGTGCTCATCTAAAAATAGACCCCTTTCACAACCAACCGAATGTGTACGGTTCCGCTTACGCCAACATCATAGACAAAAAAAAAAAAGCTGAACACTAACTAGAAATTCACGAAAATTTTATAGAAATAAAATAATTTTGTTTATTGGGTCTTTGGTCATTTAAGACCTTTGGAAACGGGATTTAATGATTATTTGTCATTTTTAAGGATTTTTAAGGCCTTAAATTTGGAAAAGCAAATTTAAGACTTTTTAAGACTTTTTAAGGACCCGCGGCTACCCTGTTTATCAGTATTATTTTAGGGCTACTGTTGCCGTAACGCACGCCTAACAGACTCTTAACTTTTTCAACAGAATCGCTCGTTACTGAGTATTTACTAGCATAGCAAAACCGGGGGAAAAAAACTGAACCGGAACAACAGTTCTCACCCGTTGAGCTCGCCTTCAAAATAAAATGTTAACTCTATAGTTTACTATTGAAACCCTTACAATACGTTTGAGGTCATTTGGCCACTCCGGCTATCAGTAGATTTTCCCCGATTACACAGGGGAGGGAGGGGCTTGGCTCATCTCTCCAGCCCTGCACGAGCAGGATGGAAAAACAGAACTCTGTTGGCATTAAATGTCCGCAATTAAAAACCAGAACGCCAAATGCAAAGTTTAGAGCAGCGCATTTACCCAGAGGCTCTCAGATTGAGTAAACTTATGAGAATACATGTAATAACCGCTTAGAGACAGAGCAACATGTCGTTAGCATTGTGGCTAATCGCTAGCATAGCAGTTTGACCAGCTATATCGATATAAAGATATAAAGTCATCTTGCATCTTGTTTAAAAATTATATCGATATATCGCCCAGCCCTACCACTTGCCCATGTCCAATATAAGCCAGGATCCCCAACCAAATACAGAGCACTGCGCCACGGAAGCGCAGCGGATTTGGGAAGTCAAGTGGTCACACCGGGCTCGCTAGGCTGCTGAAAGCTTCTTGGAAAATCGTGCGATAGTCACAACATCATGCGGAACAGGAAGCGGAAAGTGACTCTTTTGTTTATTTGTGATCAGACTTGCCGTCGTGTTTTGTGAGACTCAATTTCATTAAAAATGGGTAAGTATGCTATTTATTAGAATATTTTAAGATCAACAGTACTTTAAAGTCATCAGTATAGTAATCAACCTGCATGTATAAGCTAACTGTCAATGTTTTCGCAGCTGGGGTTGTGCCATTGAGCCATTCCGCGTCGTAATGTCTGTTGTAAAGTACTCCACAATGTTGTAAACAGCCATTCCACGGTGCTTGAAATAGAACCAGCGCGTACCTTCAGTGCCTCCGCGGGGACAGGCGCTCCTGAGATGTGGCATTACGCTCACCGTGTAGCCACTCTCAGTAACGATAAAGGCTCATTTTTTTAAATGATGGCACAGGCATGACCTGGTGCAGCGCATCTTTCTTGTGTGCCCAGGCGTAACTCCTATACACAAACACACATGAACGAATGTGATCTTCTATAAACTTTATAGATGCAACTTTTATAAGGCGTTTTGATTACACTGCAGGGTGTGTTTTTGAGCTTTTAAAAATGTTAATTTTACAAATAACATCTTGCTAACCTCATTACAAAAAAAACTGTGGGGAAAAATTGGCAATCACTGCTCTAAACCACCCCAGCGGTTCATGTAAATACAGACTTTAAACCTTTACATGGTAATGACGATGTAGGGGTTAACTGCTTCTATGTTTTACTTGTAGAAAACACATCAGCGATCCTCAATCAGAGCTAGGCGTCCCCCTTGCTGTTATTGAGGGACTAATCACAGCCTTTTGTTACTTTGAACTTCTATGAAGCTGATAAATGTGGACGTGAGGTCTGGAGACGGCCACGGTCCTACATAGGAAAATATGGGAGGGCCGATAGCTACTGGGAGGATGAATGGGTCTGCTGCTGTCACCGCTTTTCTACACCACAGCTGAAAAAGCTGTCCCAGTAATCACTAGTTATTGTGTTCCTGCTGTCTGAGGTGTTGACTCACCTGCTTTTCCTGTTTCCGTTTTCATCCAGTTAGCTAAAGCTACACTTCCTTATGCATTATTCACAACACAAGAAATGAACACATCACCATTTGTGTACAGAAAAAAACCTGCAAATCATTATAATAAAGCCGTTTTAAACCTGAATGCATCCCGATCCAGGTTTCAACTATAATGTATGTAAAGCCAAGGAAAATGGAATCAGTTTGGAGAAGAACTGCCCTGAATGATTAGCTGAGATGTTTAAAGCAGAGCAGTTGTGATCATGATCTGTTGCTGCTTAGACATTGCACCTACACTCATTTGATTATATAATGCAACAATAAAGCCCTCAGGTGTGGTATTACTAACCATGCCCTTGCATTATGCCTGCAGAGCTGGGCGAGGGACTCTGATCAGGTTGTCTGAAGAGGTGGTTGCTGGGATGAGTTGGCGGAGGGCTGGAGGGCTGGATACGCAACCTGAGGGAGAATGGGAAAGAGAGAGGAGAGAGATAGAGCTATGATGTAACACTTCAGTCAATATTGCTGCACCACCATACCAACTTCATTGTTCACTCCTCAATAGCTGTTGCAAGGGGTGTGTGTGCTGCTCACCTCTGGAGCTGGTGGGTTAAGTGACTCGGCTGGCTCTCTCCATGGCCCAAAGACAGACCCTGCAGCAGAAAACCGAAACTCTGAGCTTCTACAACCAAACTCTGGGTCTGCCTGCTGATGTTAATAGAATACAACTCACAGCATGAAGAAAAGACCTAAACTAAAGGGACACAGTTGCAGTAGTGTCACTGGTTCCTCCATTTACATGAGGTACAGCAGCTGTTCCCAAACCTTTGATCTGGAAATTTCTAAAAAGTTTTTATGTCAAGCAGAGCCAGAGCCTTTCCCATCATCAACCTTAGGTTCGTCCATACACACACACCTGCCAGCCCACTACAGAAGATAAACCCGTCATTTATTTACAATCCATTTCAGAAAATCTGCCTTTAAAGTACATTATTAAAAATGAGCGACAGGATACACAACGACACAATGAGGACTGCCCCAGGAGTTACACCAATAATCAAGTTAATAGAACTTGAGACCAGAGTCCAGAGAAACGCCACACAGACACGTCTCTACACTGTGTGCACAGTTATTAGGCAAGTGAGTATTTGTATCATATCATCATCAGGTCTTGTTTCTTTCAACTGTGCCGCATCACTCGTTTAAAGTAAATAGTCAAAAGACCACATCTGGACTCAGTCATTCATGACTTTATCACCTCACATTTGGACTACGCCAACTCAGTCCTTACTGCTGTTAGTGTCTCCTCATTTGAGCATCTCCAGAGTACAAAACGCAGCAGCTACATTTCTGACAAACACCTCCAGATGCTGTCGCATTATACACATCCTTGCCCGTTTGCGCTTGCTGCCTGTTAAATACCGCATCCAGTTTAAGGTTCTAACTTTTGTTTTTAAAGCTCTGAATGGTCCAGCTCCCGCATCTATCAGAACTGATCAAATCTTAAACCCCTTCCAGATCTCTGAGATCGGCAGACCACCTGCTGCTGTGCATCCCAAACATGAGATACAAATCCCGTATAGGGAGCGGGCCGTTGCATTTGCTGCCCCCCAAACTCTGGATGCACTCCCCCTCAATGTACGACAGGCCCCTTCAGTACGTCAGTGCTGAAGGCCTATTTTAATCATTTAGGTTTTGAGCTATGATAGGGCATCTAGTGCTTTTCCTCTGTGGCATTTCCCTGCCGACATGGGCTAACCTTTTAGTATGTTTTTTTATTATGCTTTTAGTCGTGGCCTTGTTTCACTTAAGGATGTTCTTTTAAAAAAAATAATAAAAATTTTTATCTCTTATCTGAATTCTTATCTCGTCTTTTATTAATTTGTCTTTAATACTGTACAGCACTTTGGTCAGCTGCCATGCTGTTTATAAATGTGCTTCATAAATAAACATGGTATGGTATTTATACACATATATTCCAACTCCAAGCTGTAATATCTTCAGCCCATATTGGATTGAAGCATGTATTTCTAATATAAATTAAAACATTGAGAATGGGTCAGGAAATATCTCAAGACTGGGGTGCGGGTGGGTGGGTGGCGTTGTTTCTAAACATTGACTTCTTTTATTTTAAACATTAGTTTGTCTCACTAGCCATTTTTACAAAACAATGCCATTTATTTACCTAAATGCTGAAGCAGAATTCTCTGTCCGGAGTCGGGTTCGAACCTTCAACCTTCCGATTACTGGACAACCCGCTCTACCTGTTGAGCTACTGCTGCCCATATAAACAGCATGAGAGCTGACCAAAGTGCTTCCCATAAAATACATTGCAACATAATAAAATAAAAGGTGATAAAATAAACAATAAGATCAGCAAATAAATATAATCACAGTCAATGGCCATAAAATCACAGGCCAAAGGCCAAATCATAAATCTCTTGTAAACTCATCAATCACTGATTCTAAGTGCGTCCTCCTCAGTATTGGTTTCAGATGTGTTAGTTGACGCAACTGGAAGAAGCATGATTTTACCACAGTGCTTGAGGAACCATTGAGAGACCAGTATTTGGTTTGACCCCAAGGCTAGTCAAATAGTCTTTAAAATTGAGATCAGTGAAGTTCTGTGAGAGATGGGGATGGGAGACATTAAGCGGATCAAATAAGATAGCCTCAGTTTTAGCCTCGTTGAGTCGCAAAAGGTTAACAGCTAACCAGTCCTTTACCATGATGAAACACGCCGAAAGCATGTGGAGGAAGCATTTGGTTTCTCCACTGCGACATACAGCTGGCAATCATCAGCATATGTGTGGTAGTTGAGACCAAAGTGTTTCAGATTGTTACCCAAAGGTAGAAGACACATACAGAATTGCAGAGGTCCCATTACAGAGCCCTGCAGGACACCCCAGTGCAATGAGACACAGGGGGAAAGCAGTCACCAATCTTAACACTGAAAGAACTATTAGATAAGTAGGAGCAAAACCATTCTAAGGCAGTACCTGTTACCCCCACCCATGAATTCAAACGTTGCAACAGAATGCCATGATCTGCAGTATCAAACACTGCAGACAAGCCCAATAGGAGCAGCAGGACATGAAACCCAGAGTCTGATGCAACCAAAATATTTTTTGGGACACGAATGAGGGTGTATTCACTGCTGTGGCATGGTTTGAATGCTGACTGAAATTTATCAAATAATGTGTTGTTTTCCAGGTGGTCTAAGATTTGCGATTGGAATATCTTTTCCAGCACCGTAGGCAAAAAGGGGACTTTTGACATAGGGGAAAAAGTTATCATAACTGGAGTGGTCCAGACCAGGCTTCTTCAAAATTGGCTGTACAATCAATCAATCAATTCGATTTTATTTAAAATAAATAAATAAATAAATAAAAACGCTTTTCAAACAAAAGTGCAACTCAAAAGGCTTTACAGAATTAAAATTACCCCAAAGTTCCATAACAGTTTTTAAGTATAACAGTCACACACACACACACACACACACACACACACACACACACACACACACACACACACACACACACACACACACACACACACACACACACACACACACACACACACACACACACACACACACACACACACACACACACACACACACACACAACATCAGTAAAATTATATTTTTATATTTTGCCGAGTTCAGATGACCCAATTAAGATAAGGCAACGAAAGATTTTTAAGGCAAGTTTGAGATTTTTATTTACAACCTTTTTTATTGCAATTTTTTTTGTTTCAAGTAACTTTCTTGATTCATTGTTTAATAAAGAAACAAAATAACCTTCCTAACTCTCTCCTTGTTATTTTCTATCTTCTCCCATCACACTCATCAGTGTTAGCAGGCTGTCCGACAGTAATAACTGTCCCTGTGAAACATGTGATCTCGGAAATTTGCCTGAAGAATTCAGCTCGACATCAGAGAGGTTGACACTAACAGACCAGCAAGTAACATCGATCTTGCTGACGTTAACCTCAGCTGTTCATCAGGTGCACACTGAGATGGAAATGCAGAAATGAATCATTGCAGGAGTGAAAACCAGTTGTTCCAGTTGTTCCGAGATGATCTGGAATCCTGTGACACCTTAATAAGCTCCAACTCTCTGACGAAACAATAAAAACTGCTGAGATGTGAAGCTCATGTAAAAAGTTGGCAGTTTAAGTAGAACCAGCAATGAATGTTTGGGTGGTATAAACACTGATGAGCCACAATAGTAATGTTCCCCATCCATCAGGAATAATGTGCCAAGAACTAATGGGGCTGTCGGCGCTGTCCCCCGACTCTCAGAGAGGAGAGAATCATCAAATCTGGCTCAGAATCTGCTGTCAAGACCAGGGAAGTTCAGGAGCCTCGGGCTGAGCTGTGAGGTTTAGAAGCTGACAGCTGCTGTTTGTTAATGAAACTGATGCAATGCGAGTTCTGGGGATGGGCCAGATCCAGTATCGGTATCAGGCTTCGATATGTGTGGGAAAAATACGACCCAACCCAAATTTCCAATCCAGAGTTAGGTCTTCTGAAATGCCTAAGTGATCCCGGCGTGCTATTTGGAATTGTAGGATGTCCAAGGAACATCCCGCATTTCTCGCCTCTGATTGGCTATAAGAGCACTACTACGACTGGCTACACGCCTCCTATTAGGAAGTTCATTCACACTGCAGTTTACAGGTAGCGGGTTGAGCAGCGCCCCACTTTTATACAGAACATGTCCGTGGTGTCGAAATATTTTACACTCGAAACGTCACAAAGCATGATTTAATCAATCACTTAAAAAAACACCACCTGAGAGAGCACGAGGAGCTTTTAACTAGGGGGGAGAAAGACGAAAAGAGATGCCACGAATAACTTCTGGAGTCATTCCAAAAGCAAAGTACACCCTTTGAGGGATAATATCAGCCGGCGTAATCCACGCCATCCATGTTTTTAAACGCCTGCTAGCCGAGGAGAACAGTACAGACAGCGGCATCAAAACACTGAAAAGCACACTCCTCCAAGCTGTCAACAGGCGATTGACATCAAAAGCAAATCCCTCTGCGCTGTTGCCACTTTACTGAGATGAGGCATACATTGTTAATGCATTATTTATTAATATTGGCCAGGTTTTGAATTGAAAAGGTTAAATATGAGGTGTATCGTCTGTATGGGTCTATGTGTGTGCATGCAGGCCAGGCTCTGGCAGCAGCAACAAATAAAGCACTCAACCTAATTTGTTTATTGTGTCCAATTCTTTACGGGGAGAAACTGCCAGGCTGGTAAAGGATCTACTGAAGCAAGAGCTTGAGAAGATGGAGCCAGCGCTGGCCAAGGCATCAGCTGACAAAGCAGGGACAACGAAGCCAACACCAGAGCCAGCAGAAAAGGCTGCTAGCATGGAAGCTGATTCTCCTCCAAGCAAAATTAAGAGTAGCTTCAACAAGTTGTATGACAACACTCGGAAAGAACCAACAACAGGTGTGCAAGACATCCCAGTACTGGGCAGACAACCATGCCCGTTTTACTTCCACCAGTGAGGAAAGTGAAAGACTGTAGAGTGCAGCGTCCAACATGGTGGATGGAAAAAGGAAATCTGACAGCAGAAAGAGCAGAAATGCTCACCTTCCTCTAAAAGAACCTGCCGGTGTTTAAGTGAGATTGGTTGAACTCCGTGTCCCTCCGTCAGTCATGTTTATTTTGCTTTGGAGAATATTTCCAGACGCTGGTGTTAGGCTTATCCAGGTCACCTCCTATGCTTGAAGCGTGCCGTCCAGACACACTTTTACTGACCGTGTTTGTGTAACGTGTTTACAGTGCTCTTGTTGCACTTTGTTCTTTAATTCAAACGTTTGAAAACCTTATTTTGTTGCTGCTACACGAGCAAGGATTTACGTGCAATTTTATTTATCACTTTCAAATAGAAGAAGAAGGAGAAGAAGAAAATATAATTTCTATAGCGACTCTCAAGATAAAAATCACGAGGCGCTTCAAAAAAAAAGTAAAAATATAAAAAAGCATTTAGAAAATGATTAAAAATATATTAAAATTAGCAAAAAACAGTTGTGATTAAAAATGTTAAGAAAGAGAGAGAGTGAACAGGAAAGAGGGAAATCAGTGGATCCTGAGGAAGGTGGAATAGGTGGGGAGAGCAGAATAAAGAGAGAGTGGTTGAAGAAGGTCATACAAAAGCCAGCTTGAACAAGTGAGTCTTCAGCTGCTTTTTAAAGGAGACCACTGAGTCCACTGATCTCAGGCTCAGGGAGAGAGGTCCAGAGTCTGGGGGCCACAGCAGCAAATGATCTGTCACCTTTGGTCTTTAGCCTGGTGCTGCACAACCAGTAGGCTTTGGTCACTGGACCTCAGGGACCTGCTGGGGGTGTAGGGACTAAGAAGATCACCAATGTAAGATGGTGCTTGTCCATGTAAGGCCCTATAGACCAGAACCAGGATCTTGAAATGAACCCTAGAGTTGACAGGCAGCCAGTGAAGCTGGAGGAGAAGCGGGGTGATGTGGGTGTGTTTGGAGGACTTGGTCAGAAGCCGAGCACAGGCATTCTGAACCACCTGTAGACGGTTCAGGAGGTTCTGCTCAGACACGTGAAAAGAGAGTTACAGTAGTCTAAGCGTGAGGAGATGAAGGTGTGGAGAACTGTCTCAAGTTCAGAGGGAGACAGAATGGGACTCAGCTTAGCAATGTTCCTGAAATGGAAGAAGGAAGAGCGAACAAGAGAACTGACATGAGAATCCAGGGTGAGAGCTGGGTCAAAGGTCACGCCAAGATTCCTGACGGAAGGTTTGGTGTGGGAAGCAAGCTGACCAAGAGAGTCTCTGACTTTGGGAACCAGATTGTCTGGGGGCATAAATGAGGATCTCAGTCTTATCTTCATTCAGCTGAAGAAAGCTCCCACCATCCAGGCTTTGATAGAGTCTAAGCAGGTGTGTAACAGCTGCAGCTTAGACATCTCATGGGGCTTAAAGGAGATGTACATGCTTCATGAAAGTCATTGAACTTAATTTTTGGTGATGGGATGGAGCAGCTCTCTATATTTTCTTTGGAGTGGTGGTGTGGAAGTTTAGCCTTTTATTTCATGTTGGAGAATTAAAAAGTGTGCTACTGGCAAGTAGTGACTGCTATCTGGGCTGTGCCGTTTATAGGACAGGGTTTGTTTCTTTGATTGTGTATATTGCACTAGTATCTAGTAACCCTGCCGTGCAAATGAAGAAACACCCATTTGGAACATTACAGCTGCATGTTTCAGGACGGACATTCTGGTTATTTCGGCTTACCTTTTGGGACACGGTGCTGGTGGGCTCTTACTTGTTGGACTTTCTCAAGTACACATACTTGACTGTTGAGAAGTTTATTATAGCCTCACAAAATCAACCATAATGAAAAAATAACAATCAGTGATATTAAAACAAATAGACCTCTCTAGTATCGGAATAGTATCAGTATTGGTAGATATCTAAATTCTGGTATCGGAAGTGAGAAAATGTGGATCGGTGCATCCCTAGTGAGTTTATCGAATGCCACAAAGAGGCCAGGCAACGTGGTTCATTGGTGTGCCTGAATAAAGAAGAGTCGATGTAAAGGTCAGCTCCAGAGAGTGGAGGGAGCAGCTCTGCGGTCTGAGCCGTCGCTGCTACAAACTGAAATAAAGGGTCTGCTGGCTTAGATATAAACCCAACTTTAGATTAGACTACAAATGAACAACATTCCTGGATTAAGCCATGTTCTGGTGAAATAGCAGAACACGTTTAGAGAGCGGCTACACAGTGTTTGTGTCAGGATAGTAACAGTAGTCCAGCACACCACCGCCCTTCTGCCTCACATGCATGGAAAACTGCTTGGGAATCACGAGTCAAAACTCCAGTCCACAAAGTACTTAAGACTAGGGCTGCAGCTATCGAATATTTTTGTAATCGAGTACTCTATCGAATCTTTTTTTCGATTAATCGAGTACTCTAATAAATTACCCTTTTGTGTTTGTAAACCATTATATCATATATTGATGAGCCAAGATGGCGTCGAGTATGGCTGCCTCGTCGCGAGCTCCACCAAGTTCCAACATTACACACTCCATACTGTACATTAATGCCACTGTTTTGCACATACCAACCTCTGTACATTTTATATCTCTTATCTTATTGTTTACTTTATTCATTTGTATACTTAGATTAGCCATTTTTATATTTTACTTGTTTTTACATTACTGTATTTTTGCACAACTCTGTTGCTGTGAAGCTCGCACACAAGAATTTCACTCGCATGTACTGTACCAGTGTACCTGCACATGTGACGTGACAATAAAAGTGATTTGATATCAAATAGCATGTTATAATTATGAAAGACCTCTTAAAATGAGCAAGCAATTGCCAGTTATTCTTCAAGTTTTATTCAAAATTAGTTTGCATAACTTCAGCACTTCAACTTTACTTCACAGTAAACAAATGCCTGTGCAAAAAATAAGTAAACAACCTGAGCCGATTTTCCCCTCGTGTGAGAATCTGCTAGCCTGCAAGCCAGACAAAAACTAGGAGGATAACGCTGCGAGCGGCTGCGGCCCAAACAGAACCAGAACCGCTCACGGCGCATACAGCTCGCCGGCTGTTTCCCTATTAACACACGTCCGTTTTAATTTCTACACTTTTTTCTCACACTAACAAGGATTGCCAAAAGCATGTTTGCTGTGGTTTTCTCAAATTATACTGATCACAAAACATTTATTTACTTTCTTTCGTTTTCCTCCGCCACTCATAAATACCCGTGTCCTCCTGCAGAAACCCCGAGGGACAACGGACATCAATAACACAATAGAAAGTCCGACATATTGTGTAAAAACTGCTATTTTTAGCACATTTTAAGTCCGACGTGTTGCTACCAGATGTACGGTGTGAGCTGAAGCTGAGTGCTACAAACGAAAAAGTCGCAGTGTCCGCAGAATATATAGAAAAACAGGCTAAAAAGCATTATCTTGTAGAGGCTCTGAGTCCGCTTGCAGAAGTGACATTTACAGGTGCTGCAGCATGGAGGATGTGGTGTTGTGATAGGCTAAATCCATTTTACAGTATTTATACTGGACTACGTTTTCCACCTTACGACGTGAAAGATGGTCCCACAACTTTGACTTTTTCTGTCTTTTTCGCACTCCACCGGGGTCCACGTTGTTAAGAGAAAGTTAAGTTATATTCGCTACTCGCGTGTGCATTCAGTCCAGTGGGCATGTGCGTCACTTATTTCGGTCCGGGTGAAACATGACCCCGGGCGATTGCAAAGCCATGAATTAATTAAATATGAATTAAACGAATCCTCGAGGCAGAGAATTTGACTCGAGGATTTTTTGTACTCGAATTATTCGAGGTACTCGAGGAATCGTTTCAGCTCTACTTAAGACAGCTGAACCCAGCCTGAGTGAGAGCATGATGAGAGGCTGAGATGCGATGACTCAGTGGTACAACACCACAGTGTCCGCGGGCTCGGAGGTAATGGGCGGACAACTCTGTCGAGTCGGCGGCAGATACCTGGATTTGCTGGTGGAGGATTTGTTGCTCTTGCTGGTAAAGGAAGTGCTGCTGCTGCGTGTGCTCGAAGAGCCGCTCGTCCTGTTGGGCAGCATACTTCTTCTGGAGCTGCTCACACTCCTGGTACACACACACGCACGCACACACGCACGCACGCACGCACGCACACACACACACACACACACACACACACACACACACACAGTTAACAGCATACCTGAACAACCAGCAGCACAGCTGGTGGCGGTGGGTCTCAGTCATCAGCTACTGGGATGAACCGGCCGGCCTCATTAACTACATGTGATCATTGGATAAGATCCTGACCCTTCTGTGACCTCTGACACCTGAGTAACCATAATCCTACCACGTGGGCTCTGCTCCCTAGCAACAGCTCACACAGCTGATCTTCACTCTAGAAGATGTGATGTGGCTTGCTGCTGTCAGAGTCTCAAGTCACATCTAGTCTTGTGAGGCTAAAGCCTGGTTTATGCTTCTCCGTCAGCTCCGCAAGGGACAGACACGCACGGATTGAAGGAAGCGTTTTGCTCTCATGCTTCTCCGTCTCCTGGAGAGTGTTGCAAAGCAATTCCCCGGCAGGACAACAGAGGGCGTAGCGCTGTTCTGTGGTATCCTGTCATGTATCGGTCCAAGATAGTGTGTTTATATTGTGTTTTGTGTATATAAGAGACTTTTAACAGACATATTTGTCTCTCATTCTCCCACCGCTTCATGCACTCCCCACCTATAAACCCACGTTTCCTGTCATTTCCGTCCACAAATAAAACGCTTGCTGCGCATCTTTTCACTCCTCCAGTCACGGGGGAATTAAACATTCATATTTTTAGAGTTTTTTCGCGAGGTATTCTTCAAGCTTCTCCGTGTCTGCCGCTAGTTATCCTCGGCTCTCTTTATGTTTTTGAGGACGCAATGCCGGCGGTGTAGACAACAGCGGCGTCCTGACCAATCACAAGCTTGCGTTGTCCGTCTCGACTGACGGATTTTTATAAAAGAGAGCTCGACTCTGTCCGTCCTTGCGGAGCTCTCCGGCAGGCACGCAAGGACGCTGCGTGTCTCCGCGCTGACGGAGACAGAGAAGCATGAATCAGGCTTGAGGCGTAACGACAAAGCCTCAGAATGGAAAAGGGCAGCCAACAGAACCTCCCGCTGCGTTCTGTGATGCCCTAATCCAGTACTGTCATGGTGCTAATGACTGATTTAAAGCTCTCTACTTCACAAGACCTCCAGACCCCCCCCCAAATGAAACCAGCTGGGGCACCTGTTTGAGTTGCTTAATGAGGCTACTGTTCTCCAGATGAGCCTTGAAGGCCTGGATGGTGGCGGCGCCATCAGAGAAGCGTCTGACTGGAGAGAAGCGCTCCATGGGGAGATGGAGGGTGTTACAGTCCTTATAGCTGGATCTGGGGGGTCACAGGAAGCGCACACACAGTAAATATTCAGACCTCACCATTTAAAAAGAGTTTGATTTCTTAGGCCCATTGTATATGTCATAAACTGTTAAACTCAGCTGCCTTAGCCTGAGGTCAGGGGTCCTGCCCATGTTCTCATCTGTAATGAACACGTGAGAGGAAACCCACCCAGCCAGCTGATTCTGCACGTTAGGCCCAAATACAGCCTTCTTTATTCTCTACCACAGATGATGTCAACTACAACATGCTGGCCTGGTTGTGATACGGGCCAGAGCCTAGAGCAGACGTACACAAGTGCATTAAGAAACCAGTTAAACAGGCGTGTGAAATTATTCACTGTGAAGTTGGTTCAAGTTACAGAAGAGGACTGGGGCCACTGGAAGGAAAAGATCTCCCAGTGGCCCCAGTCCTCGTCCGCACACAGGTGTTTCAGACCGTGGTCTAACAGCTGCAGCTGACACGAGCGTGTACCACCACGTCGTTCAGCTGAACGTTTGTTCTGACACACATCCTGTTTAGGTGCCAGTTCCTCCTCTATGGAGTAAAATGACCTATTTATGCAGAGGCTGGCTTTATTTCTGCTACACCCTGGCTCATCCGCTGTGTGTGTGTGTGTGTGTGTGTGTGTGTGTGTGTGTGTGTGTGTGTGTGTGTGTGAGTGAGTGAGAGAGAGCTTTATAGTCACCCCTGAGGTGTGTGTGTGTACAGCTCAGAGCAGGAGAGTCCCCTCACCGGGTGTGAATGTCAGGGGCCCAGCCGCACCGCTGGCGGGGGCCCTGAGGCCGCTGTGACTCTGTCGAGGGCTCGCCATGTGAGGTGCTTGTGAGCACGTGCGTCGTGTGGCGCTTGGAGCGGTTCGCCAGGTACCTGGGCCGTTGGAAGGGGGGTAGGACGGGGTGAGAATGGGAGACAGGAAGCAGCGCTGGTCAGCTCTCTGTCCTCATTGGCTAATGGAGATGGGGGAAGGACCACCCCTTTCCACCTTTGCCAATGCGTGCCGTTACTCATATCATCGTAGCCAATCAGAAAACATCAAATAAAGTGACACCACAGATGGAGGTTACAGCATTTGTGAACCAACAACTGCCCAGCGTCCAGCTTAAGGGTTGGGTCAGTCGCTGTTTGTGTAGCCACCGGTTTGGCAAGCTTCAGAGTTAGCAAAGCTGTGTGAGAAAGAGTGAACAAGTCCACAGAGGAATCTGGCACTTGCTGAAATGAGAGATAAACCAGCTCGAGGCCAGAGCCTGATGGCAAACTCTGTTGGGAATGTGGCAGAAGGCACTTGCGATGGAGAAAGGAGAAAAGATGGGATAAGCACCACAGCACTGTGGCCACCTCTCAAGGGGGAAAAGCAGAGCAGCCGAGAGGCACTCACTCCCAGCAACCCAGGACACCGGCGAAGGCTAAAGAACGTGCCGTCTGAAGAGGACCGCCTTAAGGCCCAGACCTGGACTCCGTCACAAGCTTTCCCCAATGATGTTCTTTGAATTTCATCCAATTCTTTCATTTACATGTCTGTAAATCATTTATATTAACATGAGCCTGAAATCTGAGCTTCTGGAGTCCCTGGCGGAGCACTGCTAACCCAACTCTACAGTCAGGGGCTTTGGGGTCTCAGCAGCTTCCTGTTCAGACAGCACCTTCGTTGCGGAAACCCAGCCACCACAAACCGTCACCATGGTTACCTCTGCACTGCCTCCTGGTCTGGCTCTCCATCTGAACCCTCCTCATCCACTGGAGCTACTGCAGGGATAGGATGCTGAGAGAGGCAGAGTTTACTGGTTAAGGTGTGTTTGGCACACGCCACAAAGAATATACACCCAGTCCCTCACCGGGCTGGCCACCAGGGGTGATGGCCCCCTGGGCCTCTTCAGGAGTTGAGCGTGTAGCTGGATGTTGGCCCCGCCATCTGAAGCTCTTCGGCCCAACGGGCCCATGCCATTCAGAAGCTGTAGAGTGGGAGGCTGCAGCAGCGATTGCTCCTGCAGCGTTAGCAGCCACAGGAATTCAGAAATCAGCACGAACACAAATCAAACACATCCAGTCCGACGCAACGAGCTGTACCTTGTACTCCAGCTGCTGTGTTGGCTGAAGGCTCTGTGTGGGCATGAGGGTATGCATTTGACCCATAGTGGGGGCAAGTTGGGGGAAGGGGGTCTGGGGAATTACACCACGAGGGAAACCGGGTGGAAGGTTTTGGAGCTCCTCCTGCATCTCCGTCCTGTGGAGGCAGGTACAAGGTCACATGGAGGTAAGATATTCTGATGAGTAACACCTGATAACCCCCCACCTCCACAAACATGCGTTAAAGGGGTTGTGAAAGTAACCGAGCTATCCTCACAGCACTACCCCTCATCCTAAACAGCTCTCGGGTTTTACCAAGGGTTGGGCATCGAGTCTCGATTGGAACCAGGGGATAACGGGGACTGGTTCAGACCGTATCTCGGGAACCGAAGCTTTACAGTTTGCATGGAGAACTACTTGTCGCTATCATTGCCTCTACCCTGGGGTGTTCCTCAGGGTTCCATCCCATTATCACTGATAATGTTGCGCCTATTTTAACACCAATTTTGGGGACCGCCAATGTTCTCAGTCACATCTGCATTCCTAAGGATGCCTGTAATGAACCCGGCCACGGTGGGGCAGGCTGGGGCTGACTGCGCGACGTGGAGCTGGCCCTAGAGTGGAAGGGCCCACATGTAGGATGGCCTGCCAGCCTAATATTTTGTTAAAACAACAAACAGGTGAGCACAGCCATCTTTGTTAACATGATAAAGCCATTCACTGACAAAGATTTTTAACGTTTTGAGGCTGTGCCTCACAGGCATTGGCTGAAGCGCTGTTATGCAGGTCATCTTTTCAGGGTCTCATTGGACTATTTTGGCGGTTCCAGCCCTGATTGGAATCGCTGAGCCAACAGAATCACTGGTGAGTTGTTTTCGGCTGGCTTTTGCAAACCGATCACAGGAGAATTGCTGTTAACCAGGATATGATGGAGAGTAGAAAAGGTTCTCCAGCAGGCAAAACGGCCCAAAATAATAATTTATCAGCTCTGTTTGGCCGCTGGGTCGTAGAATTTAACAAACAAGTGGATTTTTTTTTTTACTTTAACACAGATTATGACCAAAAAACAGCAAAGGTAAGACTGAGTATAAACTTTTATCGTCATTAATATCGGCTTTGTTTTGGTCCTTTTTTAGTGGTTAGCTAAATCAGTTTTACAAGTAGAGTAATGATACATATGTATTATAGTTAGCGGGTTTATATTAGTGGACCAACACCAGCAGATGACATGGCTCCCCAAATCAACACCGATTGTGGAAACTTCACACAAGCATCTTGGATTGCGTGCTTCTCCGGACATACTGGACCAGACTAGACCACTGAACAGCGCCAGGGGCGGATTGACAAGAGCAACAGGACATTTGAAGCTCATGTCCAGGATCTGTCTGTGTGTGATGGCTCGTGATTAGGGTGGGGCATCGTTTGATTTTCAACGATTCAGATTCCGATTCCTCGTTTCGAATCAGGTTCCTATCGATTCCCGATTCCATTTCTTTCAAGACATGACATGTTTTACACGAGCCAGCTAACCACAGGTCCTACTAGATGAAATAATCTTCAGTGTTTCCCCTAGGAATTTTTCCAGCTGTGGCGGGGGGGGGGGGGGGGGGGGGGGGGGGGGGCATTGGAGAGAAATTATGACACGTCTCTAAATAAGGTAAAAAATTTTTAGTGCAGAGAGGAGAAAACCCATAGAAGCACTGATTTGATCTCATTTAAGAGAAAAATACACCAAGTCAGATGCACCTAATAAATAAAATTACTAACATAAACTCAGGAATCTGTTTCTTTGCTTCATTGTTCTGGTGCTGAAAATATCACTAATGCAGATCAAAGGAGATACACAGATGAATGCACCTCTTATTTATTATTTGGAGACTACATTTACTGCAGCTGGCAGAGGCAGAGATTTTTTCTATTGATACACGGAATTTACAGAATCATTTTAAATGTTAATAGGGGAAGACTACAGGAGGGAGCGGTAACATACAGGGTGTCCCCAGCAAAAACAAAAAACTTTACAGAGTCTGATGAAACTCGCTGGTTTTCCATCAGGCAGTCACGGGGCAGCTCCAACGACCCAGTGGCTGTGCTGGGTCAATGTTATCGAGCTCAGTCCGGTGTCGGTACAGGATCTGCTCGGGTGCAAGATCGGCTCGGGGTCCTTCGACTGTCGATGACGTCAAAGTACGGCAAACCCACTCGGACAAAATACACTACACATCTATACTGTTGGAAAGAATTTAGCAGTTTCGTTATTAAAATAATGTTTATTAAGACGTAAGTTTGTGTTTATAATGGTATTTGTAAAATAAAACACTATATTGTATTAATTATGTTGAACTCCTCTTTGAGCAAATCCCTTGAAGGATCATGGGTATCAGCAACACCTGTGAAATTGTATTTGCAGGAAAGAAGTGTGTCCCGTTTATTGAAGTATTTTGTGTTTAGAGTTTTTGACGTCTTGTCCATGCGTAGTTCAGTTACGCTCATAGCTGCTAGCCAAAACTCTGGAGTTAAAAGTTTTCTGGCTTTACTAAAATACCTGTCTGTACTTATTTGATTGATGGTAGTTTTACTTTCTATTAGACTCCAAATGTAATAATTTGGCATGTTTCTAATTCATAATTTGTAAGAATGTAATCGGTGATATTAGTATTAGCATTCCTATGGGTTTTTCCATGTATATTAGCATTGCGCTAACCACTCGCTGCCAAATTGCAGCGTTTGCGATTAGAAAATCTCCTTTTGTCACATCGCAATTTAATTGCACATGCAGTTAATCGTTCAGCCCTAATATACATGCAGCTCTATGCTAAAAGTGTATTTTCAAAGAGGTAATGATGGATTTCTTTGTAAAAGTTGTCCATCTTTCCAACAAAAAGATTTGCCTGGACCAGCGTAACGTGATAACAACGTAACGTGATTATGTAATTCCGTGAGGTTCATGTTCAGCCAATCAACTACTCAGACGTCATTGGCAGTCGACGGACCCCGAGCAGATCTTGTACCAACACCGGCTCGGCAGAGGGTGAATCAGCCGAGGCAACGTTGTGCTCTGCTTAAGAAGAAGTGTAATTTTCCCGCTTCAGAAGAAGCGTCCAACGTGTTTTTACGCTTTCTCCAAGACATGTCACGTCGCTAATCGTTAGCGCCGCGCGCTAACACGTCAATAGTCCAACGTAGCCTGCTGGAGGTTTTAAGGGTTCAGATGAAAACACCCGAGCTCTCAGGCTGCTCAAACATCAATCTTAAGTTGTCGCTGTTGCGCTCACGCCGTAATACAGTATTAGATGCGGTTAAAGTCAGACAAGAAAAAATAAATACATTTTACATGAATAAGTGATGATTAGCCTGGTGGGAGGAGAACCTGGCCTAGTAAGCACTGGAGGAAACCCTGTCAAGATCGTCAACACTCGTTTACCTTAATGCTATTGAAACATGTCACCCAAAAAGCATTATATCCACTGCTACCTTTCTAATTTTAAACTCAGTAACTTATGCTGTAACTTCACCTTGCCCTGCCTGCTCCTCCTTGCTGCCCGCCGGCTGTGATCACAAGCGACAACATAGTAGTTCTTGCTGCTTCTTCAGGAAACAGTGCAAAAATAAATAAATAAAACTTGGGATCTTGTAGGCGTGGCGGTGGGATTTCAGCCGTGGCGGCCCGCCACGGCTACGCCTACGTAAGGGAAACCCTAATCTTAACTTCAACATGAATTTTAATTCTATGAACAACAACATCACCTTCATTTAGACAAAAACATGTTTTGGAGAACAAAAGAAAAAGACTTGCAGCACAACCAGTGTGTTTGTCTCTGACCACAACCAAAGTTGGAAGAAGCCTCTGGGATGAGAGGCTAAAAGTCTCCAACATATCCAGAAACGTCCAGCTGTTTTCAGCTGAAACTCTCAGGATGATCATGTCCAGGATGACTGAGAACTACACCTCCATGCTGCAGCAGCGTTCAGTCAGAACAGCAAAAGAAACTTAAATGTCGCTGCTGTCAGTAACAATCTAACAGATTTAAAGGGACTTTACGGAGTTTTGAATTTTTATGCTCGCAATTGCCCCCTCTGGCCAAAAGCGTAACGGCAGCTTCAATAGTAGGCTCGTGCATGAGGCGCGCATGCTGTACGTGCACACTCCTTAACAAAAATAACAGCCGAGACAGTCGTGTATGTGTGTGTGTGGCCCGGAGGACAGGAGAATGCGCAGCTAATTAAATAATTTGGTTCTGTACCTTTCTCTTCAGCACAGCTGACAAAGGTTTACAATGGGTCGGTCCTCTTGCATGCTAAGATCATTCCCTTCCCTTGCTTGAAAAATTGTTCCAAAATGAAAGTTGAACCCACATCTTTTTTATCTGTGAATTCAATGCCGTTCGGCGAGTCTCAAATAAAAATTTGGGCATCTTACTGTAAAAAAATATACCATTAATGTAAAAAATAAACTCTAAATGAACTATGTTCACACCCAGAATTGAACCCGGGTCTCTTGCACAAGAGTCCGACGTCTGACTAAGTGAGCTACAGCACCACTGATGTCTTTGGCATCTGTAATATTTATATCCTTGATTACAGTTAAAACAACATTCAAAGAACAGTTCGGAGCGAAAATGGCTATTTTGTTGCTAATTTGCAGGAAATATCTAGAAGAAAGTAGGTAAGGGTCCTCAGAAATGTAGCTCGGTTCATCACTAGACGTGAGGAACAGCGACAAAGTCGCTGAGTTGGCACTACCTCTCTCTCTGCTGCTAAAGCTACTGATAGCAAATGCTACGGGCGATGCCCGAGTGTGAACGCGCATGAAGCAGCCTGCTCGACCCGAGCAGCTCAGCTCAACTCTCTTTTTCTGTGATTTTACAGAAAAACAGGCAATCACAGTAAAAATGCCAGGGCTCATTCTACAGGACCAGGGCATTGCAGGAGAATGTATGAAGAAGACATTTATTATTTCTGTATATGTTTTGGCTGTCAAACTTCCATAATGTCCCTTTAAGCATTAAAACTCAACGGAAATAGTTCAGAAAGGAAATTAAAATGTTCACAACTTCGTGTGTGATTTATTATTATTATAATTATTGTGGAAGAAGCTGGTGTGGTCCACCACAGAGATGCTGCTCTAGCATGATGACTTTAATTATTCTACAGGTTATTGTTCAGCCTTCTGACCCCCCCCCCCCCCCCCCCCCCCCCCCCCACCCACACACACACACACACACACACACACACACACACGAGTGTTGGTGAGCGGCTGCGTCTGACTGCTGACGCTCCGTGTGTGTTTTTATTTCTGCAGTGAGACAAACTCACCTCACACCGTCCAGAGTTTGTTCTTTAAAGCTTCTATTAAATCCACCGTGTTGACGTATTTAACAAGTTTCCTCTACGCTGCAGGAGTTAAAGTTTACATCACGGAGTAAAAGTTCGGCAGACGCGTTTGTTTATATTTGGGTGGGGGGAGGGGGGACTCGGTGCTGCACACAGACAGCCGGTGTGATCAGCTCTGAAAAGCGTTGATCACAATTTGCAGATCACGTTTATTTTTCACAGAGATCGGCCGCGGATTCCTCTTCCGTCAATATTCTAAGAATCGGAAAAAAAAAACTTTGAACGATTCCGGGAAAAACTAACAATTGTTCCTGGTTCCAATCGATGCTCGTTGCCCAACCCTACGAGTCGTGATGCACCATCTCCAGTCTCCAAGTGAAAGCCCCCAACAGCTTTAAATGGCCTTTTCCTGACAATCACTTCCAGGCTGTGGTCATCCCTGCTGTTTTCTTCCGCATAACTTTCTATTAATGTGCTTTGATACAGCACTTCAGAAACATCCAACTTCCTTTCCAATTAACCTTTGAGGCTTTCCCTCCTTATGGAGGGTGTCAATAGTTTTCTGCACAACTGTCAGGTCAGCAGTCTTCCTCATGTTTGTGATTCCCACTGAACCAGACTGAGAGCCCATCTAAAGGCTCAGGAACCCTCAGCAGGGGTTCTGGATTCATTAACTGATTAGAGTGTGACTGAGTCTAGATTTTCAACGTGGGGTTGTCATCAGCTGTAAGCAGTTATAACAAATAAACGCTGAAATGTCTGGATTAGCATGAGTTTATCTGATGATGACCAGTTTCACGTTTGAAGTTGAATTACTGACAAACTTAAAACTAGTTTTCCAGTTTTACCTGTAACTGAAGCAGCTGTTCCTGACTCACCTTTGGTCTGGAACCCCCACAGTGTGCCGCCTCATTGAAAGGTAGCGAGCCATTGCCTCAGGAGATGGCTCCTCACCTTCATCACTGTCCAGGGCCATGCTCCCCTCGGGCTAGACAACACACAGACAGAGCTGCTAGCGTACACTGTAGAGCCCAGTGTGAAACACAACATGGTGGACTCTTCTATCAGAAACACTGCTTCTGAATGGTGTGTGTGTGTGTGTGTGTGTGTGTGTGTGTGTGTGTGTGTGTGTGTGTGTGTGTGAGCCTGAACGCAAGACTGATAACAGCCCAGAAGAAAGACCTCAGTCCACGCACGTAGAAAACATGAATAGTAGAATCTTTACTATGTCACAGGAAATGACAGTAAACTTTTCAAAGTAAAAGCTGTTATGAGCTCAGAGTCGTGGTTAAGATTAATGAGACTCACCTCAACTATCTGGTTCTCAGGGTTGATGAGTTGGACGTGGGGAACGGTCATGCTAACAGGATTACCCTGTGGGTCTGTCTGCTGGGCATGACACACACGCACACACACACACACACACACACACACACACACACACACACACACACACACACACACACACACACACACACACACACACACAGATTACATAAGGATTGCACTACTTTATTAACAATCTTCTTAGAGCTGTGGGATTGGCTGATGTGGGTTAGGTCAGGGCTCAGGTACAACGGCTGGAAGGTTAGTCATCCACGTGGCTAAACTGCTCCGTCAGCTTCTTTTGGGTTAGAAAAGCTGGTATTCCTTAGTTTAATAAAAACTCCCAGCGTAAACACTTCTGCATCAACGACAAAGCTCTTAAACCTACAAAGACCTCAGTAGGCGTATTACGGTAAGGATTACCTGAACAGCGTTTGGCGGATAGCTAATAGAGCGCGGAGTGGGCTGGGCAACACGCAACGTCTTGTGTTTTTTCAGCCGTTCTGCCAGCAGACTGTAGATGGCGCTGTAGTGATCATATGCATCAGTTTGCAGGGACTGAAGAGGAAAGGACATTTAATTTGACACGATGCTGAGAGCAGAGACAGATCTGGACCCTTCAGGCTCCTGTATCAGACCTGAAGTGTACGCTCCCTGTCTAAGCCCATCTCAGACATGGCCATCAGGACCTGCTCGTTGATCAGCTCTATATCTCTCTCAGTCTTCACCTGCTCACACTCTGCAATCAACTAGAGGAAAGAAAACTTGAATGAAACAGATTCAGGAAAACCTGCTGTACACTCAACATGTCTATGGAGTTTAAAAGCATTCACTACTTTTGTGAGGCGCATTTGCAATAAACAAAAAGTATAAAAAGCATGAAGATGAAGGTTTCACCCTGTCAAAGTCTGGGTCTGGGTCTCCTTGTCTCATCCACTTGTTCTTACAGATCTGCTCCATTGTCAACCTTCTGCTGGGCTCCAGAACCAACATGTGTCTAATTAGGTACTCACAGTCTGGAAACACACACACACACACACACACACACACACACACACACACACACATGAAAAAACACACCTGGGCCCTCATGCATCAACCATACTTACAAACAGCTCTTCCGTAGACCAGCTTTACACATCGTGTTGTATTCACCGGTTTGTACGTGTGTGTCAAACGTTCCTAAACACAAGAACAGCTCTAAACAGCATCTAGTGGTAGAACGGGGAACTGCAGCACTGAAGGTCTCAGTCGTCCACACGTTTCTCATCCATCAAGTATTTTACCCAGTAAATAATTATGTCAATGGACACATGTGACCAATGAGAATCGGACATTTTATCATGGTTGATCAGTGTTGGAGGATTTGGCAGAGCGTGCTCTCTGGAGGGAATGCGCTCTCCATGAGCGCACTGATCACCAGGGAGGAGATCCTTCTGGAGCTATGCTGTGATTTCGGACCCTGTTCCAGAATTCCCTGCTCCCCGATCACACAGGCGTTGACAAGGTAACCATAATGAATATACAAGTCCTTCTCAAAAAATTAGCATATTGTGATAAAGTTCATTATTGTCTGTAATGTACTGATAAACATTAGACTTTCATATATATTAGATTCATTACACACAACTGAAGTAGTTCAAGCCTTTTATTGTTTCTAATATTGATGATTTTGGCATACAGCTCATGAAAACCCAAAATTTCTATCTAAAAAAAATTTGCATATCATGAAAATGTTCTCTAAACGAGCTATTAACCTAATCATCTGAATCAACTAATTAACTCTAAACACCTGCAACAGATTCCTGAGGCTTTTAAAATCTCCCAGCCTGGTTCATTACTCAAAACCGCAATCATGGGTAAGACTGTTGGCCTGACTGCTGTCCAGAAGGCCATCATTGACACCCTCAAGCAAGAGGGTAAGACACAGAAAGAAATTTCTAAACGAATAGGCTGTTCCCAGAGTGCTGTATCAAGGCACCTCAGTGGGAAGTATGTGGGAAGGAAAAATTGTGGCAGAAAATGCTGCACAATGAGAAGAGGTGACCGGACCCTGAGGAAGACTGTGGAGAAGGACCGATTCCAGACCTTGGAGGACCTGCGGAAGCAGTGGACAGAGTCTGGAGTAGAAACATCCAGAGCCACCGTGTACAGGCGTGTGCAGGAAATGGGCTACAGGTGCCACATTCCCCAGGTCAAGCCACTTTTGAACCAGAAACAGCGGCAGAAGCGCCTGACCTGGGCTACAGAGAAGCAGCACTGAACTGTTGCTCAGTGGTCCAAAGTACTTTTTTCGAATGAAAGCAAATTGTGCATGTCATTCGGAAATCAAGGGGCCAGAGTCTGGAGGAAGACTGGGCAGAGGGAAATGCCAAAATGCCAGAAGTCCAGTGTCAAGTACCCACAGTCAGTGATGGTCTGGGGTGCCATGTCAGCTGGTGGTATTGGTCCACTGTAGGGCAGGGTCAATGCAGCTAGCTATCAGGAGATTTTGGAGCACTGCACTTCATGCTTCCATCTGCTGAAAAGCTTTATGGAAATGAAGATTTCATTTTTCAGCACGACCTGGCACCTGCTCACAGTGCCAAAACCACTGGTAAATAGTAGAGCTGAGGAAAATAATCAAATAATCGATGCATTGGGATGCAGACATAACAGATTCTGCATCGTAGAAGAGTCCGCCAAAATCGATTATAGTGGAATGTAGTTTTGTTTTTTTAACGGCGGCACCAGCGCAGCATCCAAATCTGTCAGAGTGAGCGTCCTCCACATTTACCAAGTGATTCCGCCTTAATGTGGTACTGCAGCGCTGAGCGCTGGAGTTGTAACCTGAGAACGAACCGGAACCGAATCGACCGAACGGTTCTGTTGGATTTGGGCCGTGAATTATGTTAATTGAGTGGGTTGTCACGTGGCGCGCTCGCTCGCTCGCACAGCAACAGAGAGGGAGAGAGAGGCATCGTCTGCTCACACAAGAGAGAGGATCGGAGGACGCTCCTCCAAACCGATGCTCCAAACACGCATTATTATTTTCATAATTTAATTATTATTTCTCCTGGAAGCGCTCAGTCAGACCGAGTGTTGCGATGCTGGGAGATCCGGTCTTGGGGAGCGGCGGGGTCAATGACAGCAGCTGAAGCGTGATCGTCTGTCTCTTTTATTTAGGGACACGGAGAAGTTAAAAGGAGAGAGAAATAGAAGATAGAAGATAGAAGCTCTTGTTCCACTTTATTCTTTTGTTTCATGATGATAAACTGATGTTAAATTCAGCTTAAAGAGAAGCTGGGAGGAAGCTTTGGTTTTGTCATGATCCACGAGCCGAGCTGAGTGCTCCTCCTCACTAAACCATCTTTGAGGTACTCTTTCCACAGGTGAGGAGCGGAGAGGACACCAGCTGTACTGCATTCGTAATCAGAGGCTCTGGTATAAAAGGAGGATGGACCCACCACTCGACGCTGGATGATTGCTACAGTTTTGGTTAGCTCCAGCCAATCGTATTTGCTTGTTCGCTTGTTTGACTTCTCGTGTTTGGATTATTGGATTTTTGACCTTGGACTGTTTTCTTGGATTATGACTTCGGACTCGCCTCTGAACCCCTGTCTGCTTGCACCGTTTAGGAATACCATCACCTCCTTCGCCGAGAACCCCGGATCTTCAGGACCACGTCCCATCCTCCTCCACGGCTCCTGTTCCTCTCCGCGTCCTCACCATCCCCGCTCTGCTGGACCCCCGCCCTCGCTCACCTCGGCTCATCACCTGCCCCGCTGCTCGCTGAGTTCGAACTCCGGAATAACGCCTCACGGCACCCTACTCACTGGACTTCCAGTGCACCTTTAGTTCCCGTTCTCCAAATAAAATACTTTATTTTTACTTACCTCCTGAGTCCTGTGTTGATTCTGCATGTCTTGGGTTAGATGCCTTCCGCAAGACATGACAGGTTCATTTTAAGTTACAGGAGATATTGTTTCCTATCTGCTCCTCCAGAGACAGCATGGACATGAGGGTCACATGGTGAGGGTCCCACAGGACAGGTTAGTGGAAAGTAGTGTTGTCAAAAAAATCGATACCTAGAAATAAATCGATACTAAAAGTGGTATCTAAATTTGATATTCCATCCCTGTGGTATCGATATTATGGACCATTATACATAGCCTTCTTCAAGTACACCGACAAGCACGACAGCCAGATGCCGTAAAGCAGCCTCCGCCTCCCAGACAAACAGAAGAAGAAGACGCCGCATGGCTACATTGCAATTTCCCACGCGAGTTGTCTCCGATCCAAGTTTTGTCTGCCAAGTAAACAAAAACATAAACAGCGAATTTGGGAGGCGCTTCACAGCCCAACTTAATTAGCATACCAAGTCTGACACGTAGTTGTATATTCATGCTTATGTGCTTAAAGGAAAACTCCAGTTTATTGCAACCCGGACTTAATTTCTAGCACGCAGTACGTTTGTTTACTCACGCTGACAACTTTGGTGCTACTTGGATTCCCCGGGGTATTTAGATGCATCGGCGAATCGCCATCAGTGCATATCCACCCATGGTGCAGCCTCGAAATAAGACATTATCTGCACCAAAACACGTCTTCATGTCGAAAGGTTTTGTTAGGAATCATTAACGTGATTCCCCTGTTCCGTTTGGAGCGGGTCTAGGATTTCCAGGCGTAAACAGACTAGCTGCGGCTAATTAACCGGCGCTTTTAATGACGTCACTGCCGTGCGCCAATCTGTTTTTAATTAAGATTACCGGTAGATGTACCTTTGTCCTACTGTGGAGAAATTAATTTTCTCTCTTTATTGACCAACAAAGTTCTTCAAAAGTACAGACCAAAACATATGGCATTACATCTTATGACAAAAATGCACCTTAAACAGAGTTTAAGCAGCAAAACATCACTCTGCATATAGTGTATATATAGTGAGACAATTCATGATTTAAAGTGTTAACTTTCGCCAGTTTTTGTATGCACGTTTTAAAAAATGCTGACACTTGAAAGGTTTAAGCACTTTATACACTAATTCTTAACATTTAATTTTTGCAATATAAATTGAGGAATGTTATTTTTTGAATAAACTAGTTCAATAAATTGGTGTTTTTAAATAGTATCGGAATCGAGTATCGAGTTTTTTTTTCAAGTATCGAATCGAGTTTGAAATGTTAGTATCGTGACATCCCTAGTGGAAAGGTTTGTAGTTAGCTGGTTAGTGTAGGAGATCCATCAGCTGGGTAATTTAATCCTAATCCTGCCCACAGCCTTCTGCTGGTGTTATTATCAGAAAGAATAAAACACACATCTTAAATATTATTGGAAGTGTAGAATTTGTTTTATGTTTTATTATTTTCTGCATCAAACAGAACTTGATTCATTCTCCAACATTTCAGAAATGAACCACTGGGTTCAAATAAAATAACAAACTAAGTCAAACATTTCATTTGGTGTTATTTCTGACACCCTCGACTCTAGAGCTGCTCAGAGACATTAAACACTCATACATGAACACATTATGTATTTTATTATTACATTATGTGTCCTGTAGGTTTTCAGTAGATTTTTAGATTTTGTGAGGTTTTGCAATGTTTGCAATAGCATGTTTTTCTCAGTCTGAGGTGTGGTGTTGAACGAGGAAACAGATGGTTTTACTTTGTTAAATCTTCTTAAATGTTTAAAATGTTTTGTCCTAACCTTTTGTGAATTGAGAGCTTTTGAGGGATGGCGGGTTGTGCCATTTAAGATTTTGATAAAAATAAATAAAAAGCAATTATCTGACATCTTCTATTTATCAATGAAAACAAATCAATATGAAATAATCATGATGCATCAGGATATCGAATTGAATTGAATTGTTGACCAAATAATCGCAATCGGATCGAATCGGAAGACAAGTGAAGATTCACACCTATAGTTGATGGTTTACTGACCATGGTATTACTGTGCTCAATTGGCCTGCCAACTCTCCTGACCTGAACCCCAGAGAGAATCTGTGGGATGTTGTGAAGAGAAAGTTGAGAGACGC